ACCCAACCCGACACTGCGCCTACACACTCGACACCAACGAACGATTCGAACCAAACAACAACCACCCCCACCTCAAATCTCAATATCAGTGTGTGAGGGAACGCACTTATCGACCATCTTGTGGATCCGGCTCTAACTTATTGGATGTATCAACAGCGGACCATCGACCTAAACGACTGGGCGACGGTACAGCGCCGGCTTCTGGAACGGTTTGACAAAACAATGTCGCAGAGTCAGCTGCTGACGGACTTGGGTAAAGTACGGTGGAATGGAAACCCTAAGGAGTATACGGACCAGTTTGCGGCTGTAGCGGAGCGTAGTGCGGTGATCGCCCCCGACGAACTCGCTGGCTTCCAGTGCACTGGGCTACCAACTGACCTCCATCTTCTCATTACAAATAATGGGCAGGAGAAGTATTCCTCCTGGGGACAAGCGGCGACAGCAGCAGCGCGACTCTATGAAACTAAGCAGACCGTACTGGAGCTACGAGAAAGAGCAAGTCGAGCCATAAGATCTGCAACTGAGGCAGATGAAACACAGCGGAAGCAGGAAATTGAGACTAAGCGTGGGAGAAACTCCGGGAAATGCTACGGGTGTCAGGGTCGTGGACACGCGGCACGAGTTTGTCCCAGCAAAGTGGANGAAACTCCGGGAAATGCTACGGGTGTCAGGGTCGTGGACACGCGGCACGAGTTTGTCCCAGCAAAGTGGAACGAACCAAGCGTCCGGTCTAGACCTCCAAGAAGTGTGGAGGTATGGGGCACTACGCAAGAGACTGCCCCACACCGTGTCGGGCTAGAGCAGAGTCTGAAGGGAGGCCCGGACAACAGCCAACGCATCCAAGTTCCGGCAGTTCTGGGCGTAAACGATTGAGCCTAGTCGCTAAGGAAGACGAACTAGCGGCCTACCAGTGGTAAGGGTGCATTGTGCGCAGTAGCGACAGGACCTAATATCATCCCAGTCTCCCCACGGTGGGGAACGAGGAGGTACAGTATGTGGGATCGGGGTAGTAGCGAGCCTTCGGAAGCAGAGATGTGTCAGCAGTCACCAGCAGAGCAGCGTGAACCGGTACGAAGTGACGCGGGGACGGGTGCGAAGAAAGGAAACGAGGAACTGTCACCACAGGTGGCAACTGAGAGCGACC